GATGACTATGTGAGTGGGACGGTTTCGGGTCTGTGCCACCAGAGGGGTGCAAGGTGGGCTGGATCAGAGGAGGTCGAAGTCTGGCACACTTTTGCCCTCGTGGAGAGCAAGGGGTGCCAAGACCAGGATGGCTGGTGGGAATGGACAGCAACCCTCTGCGTTACACGCCCAGGATGCCATCAAGTAATAGAATGATTTAAGCCCCCAAAAATAAGCATTTAAAACAACTATGTTGTCTTTATTTAAAACAATTCAATCTCTCACTGGGTAATAGCTATAACTCCAATTTAACCGTGAAGAGAAGCTCACGTAGATTCTCCAGAGGAGGCAGCAATATGATTTTCTGGCTGCCTACTTGGATATATGCAGTTCTAGTTAGAGAATTTTTTTCAACCTCAGAAGCAGATTTTGGAGACAGTAAGCGAAAGAGCTTGGAGATGTTCTTAGAAGAGGAAAACAGAAATTCTGTGTTTTTAAATGAAAAAGTTCAGGAGAAATAACCATTCCCTCCTCACAGTGAATTCCACTACCCTGGTTTCCTTTTTCATAAGTTTCAGGGACACTTTATCCTAAACCTGCTAGAGAAAGAATTTTCTACCATTTAATACCTATGGGACAATATGGAAATTAGAATTAAGTAACTATTATCCATCTAAGAGATTTCCTCTCTGGTTTAAATCTCACTCTCGATTTCCTTCCTCCCAGATCCCCGGGGTAGATTTATGGATTCGCAATTGGTTTATCTCGGCTTAAAGCAATTGATTCTGCTTTCAGATATGCAAGTAGAGGGTAAAGCAGGCAGTTAAGACCATTATAACCCTAATAGCTTAGTAATCAAGTATTTCTTTATATCTTTTTATCATAACTATTTGCTATAAAATCAAGTCTCAAAATCCAGAATTTCTTCATGAAAACATAGTTCTGGAAAGAAGAAATAAGCAGATAGTGCACATTTAAAAACAGATTAAGAGTGTTTGGAGTATAGCTGAGTCTCAGACTTCAACTTCAGATAGGTCTTTATGCTTTAATTAGGTTATATATGAAATTCAGTTCTTAGATGTACATTTGATTTAGAACTAGATTTAGCCTTTAAATGTTCTAACTGGATTTTCTTTTCTTCCCGCACAGAGACTAGAAAGACAGACTTTCTAAAACTTTATCTGTTTAATCTAGTACCTCAATGTTTCTTTGTTGTTTGGTTTTATGACTCCAAAAAAAAAAAAAAACAACCTGAGGCAAAATTATTTAATTGCAATTAATTTTTGATTGATTACTCAGCTGCCTTGCTAACATACAGAATAGAATAGGGTATATAACTATAGTCATAGAGATTTTTTAAATTTAATTAGAGATTATTATAAACAACTGTGAACTAATAACTCTACAACTGATATGAAATAGCTAAATCCGGGAAAAAAAATAAAATGTCAAAATTGGCACCAGGAGAAATAGAGACATGGAAACTTTAAACAAATTTAAGTGGTTAAAATCTTCCCATCCCCTAAAATATCCAAACCCTATTATTTTATAAGTGAGTCCTACCAGATTTTCAAAGAGATAATGATGGAAAACCCTAATATAAATGAATATTTATTTATGAATAATATTCCGCAAGTCATTTCAGAAAACATGGCAAGCAACATCGAGTTCATTTTATGAGGCTAGTGTGACCTTGATTCCAAAAATAGCTGAGAGGAAGAAAAGAAAAAAGAAATAAGGCCATTTGTATGCTAATACAAACGTTCTAAATAAAATAATATCTAACAACCCAGTAGTAAAACAAAATCAGCTTACAGAAATCAATAGCATTTTTCTATATCATCAATAACCAAGTAAAAAATACATTTTTTAATATTATAATTGAATGAAAACTGGGAATTAAGCAAAAATACCCATGTCCTTTATGGAAAAAATATTAATTTTTAACTGTAATAAAGTACATAGAAAATGATCTGTGTAAGTATAGAGAACTTCTGGGTCCTTAGATGGAGAAACCTAATATAAAGTTTCCAAAATGAATCTACAGATGTATTAGAATCCCAATCAAAATTACTTGGATGTATCTATACAATTACTGTAAAAGTTACAGGAAAGAATAAAGATCCACAAGTAGCTTAGTTAACTCTGAAAAAGGATAAATGAGCCAGATATTAGGATATGTAAGAAATAAAGATAATTAAGATAAATAAGATAAAAATAGAAATGAAAAGAGGGCAAAGAAGGAGACACACATATCTGCATAAATGATACATTGATAAGTAGGAAAAAGATGGTCAATACATAGAGAAAGGGGGAGGAGGGAACGAGGGAGGGAAAAAAGGGACGTTTTTAACCCTGTTACTGGTTCTAATACTTTGGCTGTTGATTGTATTGCTTTTTCTCGGTAGATTGTCATATTATCTGTAAACAATAGCAGTTTTACATCTTCATTTCAAATATATATTCACACACTGCAGAGAACAGCACATACCGCGGAAGAAAGGCTTGTTTATTAGATGGCATTGGAAAAACTGACTTCCTGTATAAACAAAAATGATACTGGATCCCTATCTGATACCACATATGAATGAAAATAGACACTAGGTGGATTAAAAACCAACATATGAAAAATAAGACCATAAATATAAAACTTAGATATCAAAATGCAGAAATTTCTCTTTGTAATTTCAAAAGAAAATCCCAAAAACATAAAGAAAAAAATTTGGTTATCTCAAAATTGAGGACCTCTACTCAACAAAGAGCAGCATGATAAAGTTATAATAGATGTGCCTTTGCGGAGAATGCATTTGCAATTTTTAAAAACAACAAGAAACTATTACCTAAAATAGACAAAGAACTTCTGCAAAGTAACAACATAAAGACAAGAGCCTCTGTAAAAACATGAACAAAGGGTGTGAACAGGAAATTTACAGGAGAAACCCAAAGGACAAGAAGCATATTTGAAAAGATGTCAAATTCCGTAGTAGTCAGAGAAATACATATTAAGACGACAATAAGATATTTTGTATATGTTACACTGGCTAAAATTAGAAACGTGGATAATACAGTCCTTGGGCGTGTGGACATAGGGAAACCTTACGCACTGCTGGAGGGAGTGGTCAGTGGCTGAATACTCATGACTCAGATTAAGTTTACGCACACCCAGGGCAGCGACAGTAGTCTTCCTCCAGATTACAAGTCCCAAAGAGCTTCTCACAAAGCCCCCAAAAAGGATGCAAAAGTGGAGTCTTATCACAGCCTTGTGTCATGGGGAGTCAGAAGCAGCTAGTACTGAGTGCTGGAGGAGGTACTGTGCCCCAGCTGTTAGAAGCAATGGACTGTCAGTGCACACAGCGACATCAGTAGATCGAAAGCAATGCTAAGTGAAAAAAGGAAGAAATAACATGAAATCTGTAACACTACCCCATCTTTATAAATCAAAAATACATGCACACAAAGAATAAGTAATGTTTTACAGAAACCCATGAAAACAAAAGCAGAAACATTAAATAGAGGTGAGATTTATGGTGGAGGAGAGAAATGACAGTAGTGGATGGAGATAAATACATTTTTCAAACTCAAATTAGTGAGAAGGCGTCATTCCCTCCACCCCTCATAATTGCATTAGGCCTTGTATTCAGTAACACTTGACTCTAACAGAATAATGATATATATCATCAACCCTTTCTTTTCAGAGTATGTTTAGCGGTATGTACATACCACTAAGATTTACTTGAAATGTTTACTGCCTAACTGATCACGTGATTATGTGGATAAAATCTTCCTTTAAATAATATATCTGATTTCAGTACTATTTTGATTCCTGTGAATAGACTTGGGCAACACCTCCTATATAATGAGCCGTCATTTATTCATTTTGTCCATCCTCTCATTTATTGCACCAGACATTGAAAACATTACTGAAAAATAGACTAACTTTTTTTATTAAGTTGTTATACTGAACTGACTGAATCACTTATACATTGACTAATATACTAGACATAACCAATATAGAATTTTAACCAACATCTTTTATATTTTAGTTTATTTTCCCATGTTCTACTCTGAACTGTTTAGTCAAGACCAATGAAATATAGTGTATAGAAATTGTTTACTTTTAGTCTAGAAACTATCCTTTCATAAAATCTAATTGTTTATATTTCTGAATGAGAAATTCAATAACTGGTGTAAATAAAATACCCAAAAAATTGAAAGAAATAAATAAGAAAATTTCAGAGGAATAAATTGCTAGTTGAATGTGATCACATGAAAAGATGAAAAGTATCATTCACTTATTTTATTGATGAAAAAAGTGAAATGTAACTATCAGAGGGATAATTTAGGAAGTCATTTATTAATTAAGTGAATTCCAAATTGATTTCAACACCTTAGAAACCAGGGACATGCAGCCAGAATGACTTGATTCACATATTTAGTTAAAGCTGCAATTAAGAAAATTGTTTCATTTGGCTGTGCATATTTGGAGTTTAAGAAGCTAGCTCTACAGCCTTTTGTTCATGTTGCTAAAAACAGTGAACTCTTAAAATCAGTAAGAAATTAATGATAAGCAAATGCAGTGAAAGGCATAGTGCGCCATACAGTCATGTCTGCTCCTATCACTGGTATGAACAGAACTGCACGCCTATGTGTCAAGACACCTGTTGGAAACTTATGATGGCTTCTTAGAAAACAAAAGGGCCTTCTTTTTTTATGACTCTTTACGGAAACTTAGTAGGGTCATTGAATCTCAGAAATCTGCATTAATTTTCCCCTAGCTGGCAGCCATCTAAAAACTGCCCAGAGACTCCTAAATTGTATAATAGCAGAATTAATTCATAGCAGAAGGAAGGCATCCCCTTTTAGTAGTACTAGAGGTAAATATAAAGGCCTTACGGCAGGAAAATACGTGATAATAAAATATACAAATGCAAAGAGAATACTTACATGTATGTGTCAGCGTAAGAAAAAAAGAGATTGGTTAAGTTTGTCCAGCCTCTTATTTCTTTCTTAACTCATTTCAGGCCCTGGAAAGTGAATTTGTTTCTTGCCAACTTCATCAGTGGATTGACCTTATATTTGGCTACAAACAGCGAGGACCAGAAGCAGTCCGCGCCCTGAATGTTTTTCACTACTTGACGTACGAAGGCTCTGTGAGCCTGGACAGCATCACGGACCCTGTGCTCAGGGAGGTAGGTGTCAAGCCCCATACATCCCAAGAATTTCTGTCATCCCTTAAACACAAATTTGGCTTTCACTTTTTGTATAAATTTCCTTTCAGCATTTTACAAATCAGATGACAGTTTCTTGACAAATGTGGAAAAATAAGTGTTATAGGTCAAAAACAAGTGATAAGTGTACCATGTTCCTGCTTTTTGAATCGTAGACATATATATAATGCTCTTCAGTAACCCTATTTTATTTGTTTTACTTCGGCAGCTACATTCAAATGTTTAGTGCCTTATGTGTGTTATTAACTACTGAAACCTACTTGAATATTTAAATATGAACCGTTCGCATTAAAATAATCAGCCAGTATGTTTCTTTTAATAAAAGCAAAATTACAGGCTTCTAGACAGCATACTCAAAAAAAATGCATCAATGAAATAGATGACATTATAGTATTTTATTCCTGTATGCTCTCACCCTGAAATTTTATAGCTAACAGTTGGGAATTGTATGCCGTAGTACGTGTATAGTATTTCTTGTGAAAATATTCATATAAAATATTACTTAAATCGCTTCCTCATTGCACAAAATTGCTTCAGATAGGTGAGAGAGTGAACAAGCAACAGCTGCTCGATAAGCTTGCTGCAAGGAAGCTGTGTCCCAGCTTCCGTCCCACCCGATAGCTGCCATCTGCTGTGTGCAAAACAAGTCACCACTGATACATTTCCAGTCAGAGAAGGGCTTTTTCTATTTCGTTGTTTTTAATTTTAGAGGTGGAAAACTTGTAGATTTTGGAAAACAAAACTCTGTAAGAAATATTTGCATCCACAAAGTTATTTCTTGTATACCTCTATAAAAACAAAATGACTCCATTTGTCTGGCTTCAAGCCGAGAAGAAGGAAGGGAAGAGAAGAGGGTCATCATCATTCATCATTGGACCCTTAGGGCTAAATATGCAGAGAGCAAATTGCAAGCATGTTGTTAGGTGCAATATTATTATATCCATATTGTATGCACAAGGAAATGGCATTACTGCCTGAAGCTGGGGAAAGAGGTAGAGACAGAGAATGAAGGAATGAATGAGAGAGAAGCCAGATATTACTAAATTAGCTGGTGAACTAAGGGATTTTCTCTACAAACCATTATACTCAGCTAATTTAGTATCCCCAGTTGTGTACACCCTATAACCAAATAATCTTGTGGGAAATATTCTAAGTTTCATTATTCTCGTCACCATATACCCTTAACACGTCTAATTCTATAAATGCCTTACATACTATATTCTCCTTTTAAGACCAATACCTTTAGAATTAGAAAAATAGTAATAATTGGAATAGTGTATGCAAATCCAAATTGTTTTTTGACTTTTTAAAGATCATAGACATTTTGCACCTGAATATTTATCACACATTTTTACCCATAATGAAGTTCTGTCCTTATAAAGAAAGTTGCAAGTTAATCCTCTTAGGCAAAATTTAAATATTTACAGCATATTGTACATAATGAAAGTACAGGGCAGCATTCACTTGAAAGAAGAAAAGCACATTTTTCATATTTACATGAGAATAAATAAAGAGATAAATGAGAATAAAAAGAAAATGGATTAGAATGGAGACTTTCTTTATGTGGATATAGCATTTACTATTTGAATCTTATAAAAACACCTGCTTCTACAAAAAGTCACACCATTGATGTGACAGTGAAAAAACAACGTTTAGGTCTTCATTGTCAAATTGTAGGACTTCTTAATGGAACATTATATGAAAACGTGTGATTTTAATTCTTTTGTTGGGTGGGAGTGGTTCAGGCACAAGGTCTGCATATTGGATAGCCGACCCGCACAGCACTTCGCTGCTCTTGATCGCCCCCTAGTGATGCCAGCCGTCGAGTGCTGGGATATCTCAGTTCACGACTCTGTTCTTCCAGTATTCTCATTCGCATTCTGGGAGCATAATTGCTGAAAACTGAGGTTCCATTAGAGAAACTCCCAGAACCATTCGCGATGTGTATGCCCTCCCTCCCAGACCCGAAGCCGCTTCCATCAGTTATCAGCATGTCAGGTGAGGGGAGCACAGACCGGGGACTTACCTTCCTTCCCCCCCAGCCAGTGCAGGACCAAGCACCCAGCAGCCGGGACATTCCAACTCCGTGGACCTCGGGCAACTCAAGATACTTTACCTTCTCAAGACCACTAAGGGGTAGACATGACAGATTAAATGATATCAAGGGTTATGAGCTAACTGTCCCTCTGACCACTCCCGACCCTTGTCTCCTCTGTCCCACAAACCTAACATCGTCTCACAACAACATTCTGCCCTAACATTTTAAGATGAGAACCACCAGAATCCTGTGAGCTCTTGACAATGGTCAAGTCATCTAATCTCCTCCCACCTCGATGGCTCTGTCTATAAAAGAGGAATAATAGGGACATAACTTTGCCAACATAAAAGCACTTAGCATCTACCATCCCAAGAAAGAACTCTGTAGGTATGTGGAAGGAAGTACCGGATGTCCACTATTTGGTGGTCATTTATGTCCCTCACGGATACCTTTCCCTGTGATGAGGAGGCCCTCTGTGCAGACAGCCCTTTTCCCACAGCACTGAGTCCCCAGGGGGCCTCCCCCCGGGGCACGGGGACCTGAGAGAGCTGATACCTACCGAACCTGGCAGGGACACAAACTCTTGGGAAGGAAAGCGCTCAAAATGTTACCCCTTGTATTGAACTCAGTGCCTGCCTTCTATTTGATAATATTTGTCTTGGTATTTTTTTAATTTCACACAGATAAACCAAAGGAAAGCTATAGTTGTACTAAACTCCAACGTTTAAAATTTTTTAATGCTTAAACGCTGATTTTAACAGAAATATTTAACATATGAATATCTCCATATGTCCCTTCTGTAATTTAAACTGTAGGGTTTCTCTGTTTTGTTCGTGCTTTAGAAATGGTTAAAACTTGCAACTCAGTAGTCCTGAGAGGAATTATAGGGGAAAGTTGAAGATGGCTGATATTATATGGATATGATCTCTCACGAACTGCCTGTAACTTTGAGCTTTGCAGTTAGTGCTAAAATTTGAGAAATGGTTAAGGTTATTGACTCATTCTTCCTTGACAGGTGAAATTGCCACAGCAATTATGGCATTAAAATGTCAAGAAATTAGAGGTCAGAATAACAGACAATTTTCTTCTCTACATCAGATTTAAAATTGACATTCTTCTGACAGCTTAGGATCTCTGGCTGCAAAAAAATATGACAGCTTAACTTATTTTATACTTGTAAAGCCATAACTGATAATAAACTTTATCATGACAGCCTCCGGGCAGAAACATGACAGAACAGTTCTAGTACAAAGCTCTTCTAATATGTAAACACCAGATCTGCGAGATATTAGATATTATTTAAATTGTCTTAAGTCTTGGCCTACATCATAATCCTCTGGATGCCTTTTTTTTTCTTAGACAAGCTCAACTGACTATTTGAGCTATGATTTTAGGCATGATAATGAAAGTGATTTCATATCCATTTTTATGTATTAATGAAAATTATGTGATTTGCTTTGTATTTTTACTTAACCAAATGATGGCTGAGAAACTCCATCCTGCGATCTGTTTAAGAATGTCCTGGTTAGTAATCGTCCGGTCCCCTGGGTTCCTACCTCCTTGGCACTCAAATCTGATCCATAGACTAACGAATAATACCAGCATCACCAGGGAGGTCCTTCAACTCCAGATTCTCAGGTCTGCCCACGTGACTGTATCAGAACAGCTGACTTGCTTGAGATATTACAGTTTAAGAAGCACTGCCCTACTAATAATTGTTTGAATGATCTGGAGAGCCTTTTTTTATTTTCTATAAAAGTAGAGAGTATGGTTATAAGGAACCCCCATGTACCTATCACCAGATTTCAAAATTTTGAATACTTATTTCATCTAGGTCCCTACTCCCATCCTCTCCACTGTGTTCACACACGCGGGCCGTGTCCATGTAAGCCCTTCCAACTCCCCATCCACGTCTCCTCCCCTGTCTCATGGGCATCTCAGGATGTCCAGGGAGAGGGTTTGAGCAGGTTTGTTTTGAAAAAAATCTCTCCAAGCATTTTGTATACATTCCCAGTTTAAAAAAAACATTAATCTAGCCTAATACACCTATTAAATCATTTTTCCAAGGACACCCAGGTATGTAGCACTGGAATCGGACTTAGGGGAGGTCACCTGATCCTCAAGTCGGGGTTCCTTTCATCGTATTATTTCCTAGAAGTTTAAAAAATAACAGACTATGTACTAATGCTTATTAGTTACAGAGAACATTTTCTTCTGACTTCCAAAATAGTTCTCAAAAATTGAAAGGACATCTAATGTGTATTTCCTTTTTACTAATATAAATAGCAAGGGTTTTTTTTTTCTGTTTTGTGGGTGCTTTTGAAATTGCTAAACCTGCAATTCAGTAAAACTTGCAGAAATCGTAGGGGAAGGTCTAATGTGGCTTTAAGGTTAATGTGGTTCATCAGCAACTTTGTTCATCATTTCTTCTAATCCCTTCCCAGAAAAACAAGTTTTGCCAGTCTTTGAGATTCCACAGGCACTAGGGGAATATGCTATAGCTAATAGTTGATTAATAGAAATTATAAATTAAATGCCACAGAAAAAATGTTTGCTGTATTCTTACGTGAGTGAAAAATATTTTATTCTTATTGTTTCTAAAAATTATCGATCATGGATATAATTACTCAAGCCTGCCTGCCTGCCTCAGAATATGATTATATGGTGGTACATAGTAGGTAATAACAGACTGCAGGTGGAAATTAGACAATAGGTTATATCATATCACAGCCCCATTAGTATTGAGTGACAGTAACTGAGTCATTTTACTTTTATGTACCTTTGTTTCCCCACCTAAAAAAGATAACAGAAATGATATGTAACTCATAGGGCTGTATTTGAGGATTATATGAGAAAAGACTTATGAAAACACTCTATAAACTATAAAATACTACACAGACATTGTTATTTATTACCTGAGAGC